GAGTCTTCTCATTTCAATACAATTTTGCATATACGCATGTATGAGAACTGAGTGAAAAAAACAGTCATGGTGGGTAAAAACAATTTGAAAGCTCACAATCAGCTGGAGACAGACCATCTTCTTAAGTTCCTGTTTTCACTGTTCACAAGAACAATGGGTATATATGCACAGTAATGCCCAGGAAACTAGAGATGAATCATCTGGACAAGCAGAACTCAAAGTAAAAGCTACAGGGGAATGTCTGGCAGTATTGCAAAATGTTTAGCTCATATTAATCATAGTCAGATGATATTAAAAAATTGTAACTCACATATACTCGCATTTGTTAAACCTGTATTTGCATCCTGACATCTGGACTCACAGGGAGGAGAAAGTCCACACACATTAAGGGCATGCAAGGTAGTTACTTAATACTATTCCCTTATAATTCCCGTTTTTCTGAAGCTGTTTCTGTGTGTTTCTGTGTGTTGTGAGTTTACAGAAGACAACAGCTTTATTGTGGCAGGTGAGGTCTGGGACATGAGAGGTGATATTGCATGTGCTGTAAATTAGTTTTCAGATAAATAACGTTAACACTTAAAACAGAGGCAGTGGAATAGGAAGCAGAATCTGCTGGTTTCATTATACCACTTCTGGTTTCCAGCTGTTAAGCTGTGTTTGAAAATCAGCTACTGCTCCTGTTTTCCTAAGAAAATAATTGCCAGGGGGATGCCATATGACTGTGAATGGGAAGGGAATGCTGCTTTGAATCCTCTTAGATAATGCACAATATGCCCTTCCTATAGCTGAGACTGGTAACCTGTCCTATAGCCTGATACACTGGTTTTAGCCCTCATTCTTCTGCTTTTCCACGCTTTTCTCTGACTGTATCGGGATGCTGCTGCCTACAACACTGCTACAGCACAGGTCAAAAATCATTCACTTGATAAGATAGTTCATGGACAACTGTTGCAGCAAGAGCTATAAATACAGGATCTAGCTACTGCACAATGCAGGTACTTCTTCCTACTGAAATCAACAGGAGTTAAGAGCCCAGACATCTGTGTAGATCTAAGGCAGGCCTGCAGAATGTATGTGCAGAATCATCTGTGCTGACACAATGGCTCTGCATCACCCCCCAGTCGTGAGACAGTACCCATGGCTGTGCTGACTGACACCACCACCCCTGAAACTCTGTTCTCCTGTAAAAAGATGCAGTTATAGCTTTATACTCTATCCTCCCAGACTCAGTTTCTTCAGCTGACCCAATATACTTGGTTATGCCATCTGAAACTGCCAGTCTGTTCTCTGGAACACAGAAGAAGATAGAATAGAAATTAGGAATCCTTACAGCCTCCACCTTCTGTCTCACACATAGCTGCAAGGTGTGTAGTGTGACTGGTCAACGTGAAGAGCAGCAGCAGGCTTTTCCTATCATTCCTCCCACTTCCAAGTGACGTGCATAGCTTCAGTGAAAGGTTTTTTGTGGTGAAACTGAAAACTGAATTCAGATTAACCACCACTCATCTATGTGGAGTGGTCTTACTTTACATATCAATACAAGCTACAGAAGAAATGTGACAGAAACTGTTAAAATCCTTCTATAGTGCGCAACATTGTTAAAAGTGAATTTATAGGCTGCACGGTATTTGTTGCACTCTTGTGCTTTTTAATGTTTAATTTTTGGTTAATGTGGCTTGCGTCTCTAAGAACACTTTGTTAGTGTATTGTATATTTGAGACAAAGAGGCATCTGTGGGATATTTTGCTCTTGTACCTAATGAGTGAAAGGCCTTTCTTGTCTAAGTACTAGGAAAGGTCAAACACAGACTTCAGGAGAGCAAGCATCATCTTCAGAAATGCAAGATTAGTGTTTGCATGAAACTGGATACAATAGGGTTTCCTCAGCAAGGTATGGAGCCTTTCACCTCATATTGAACCTTCCACCACTTTGCATTTTGTACTGTATTCCAAAGTCTTTGGCATAGGGAATATTCCTTACCACGTGTTTGTGTACTGAATTGTACAATGGGCTCCAGTCTTGTTTGGATCCTCTCTTGAGACTTTCTGCGTTAGGGTCCAAAAGCGTATTACTCATAATGAATTTGCAATGCAAATTCAACAGCACTCTATTAGTCACACAGAGTATGAGAATAGAAAATTGTTCAAGAGTCCAATTCAATAACTTTGGACTGAAAAATTAAGTATTTTAAGCATATTTTGAAAGGCAGTTTATGCATAGCTGCACTCTGTAGTCCAGCAGAAGCACTGGTTTGGGGAAGACAAGGTAGAACCATGACTGTATATTGAATCAGTTTGATCTATGGAGGTGCTCTAGAACACCTTCTGAAGACACTCTAATAAAACACCACAGCAATTAGAGCAACACGGTAGTATTAACCACACAATGAAGTGCTAATGCTGTGTATTTATATTTTGTAGGATTCATTTGAATCCTTGAACAAACTTGAAAATTAAGCTGAGAAAGCTGCAAATAAATTCCTAATTGAAAAGGTGCAATTTTAAAGTCATCAGGAAAGTACCTAGGAATCAGCTTTTCATGTACCATAGTGTTATTCTAAGCTTCTATTATAATAAAAAGTTATATTGATACTATAAAGTATCACCCATTGCCTTTGAAACAATGTATTTGGTTGACATCCTCCTTTAGGTAGCTTTGTTGGAGTAAATGGGTTTACACAAGGAATTCATTTTGATAGGCAGTATCACTGCATGGATCAGAGCATTTGTGAACTTGCAAAGAGTTTCCCATTAACAGCATCGAGCCATAGTAAATCGTGCATTCAGGTTTTGCCTCAAGTTTCACAAGTGTATTAAGCTCTCATGGGAACCCAACACACCTCTGGGTTAATGCTCAACTAAATTATTAAACTATAAGAAATTTAGGGGATGACTGACATGCACTATGAAGAAAAGAAGATTGTGTTTGGGGAGTTCAGTGGGATAGAAATCCCTGCTCCTGTATGTGTTCTTTTAAAACATCTGGGATTCATCAATGCAACTAACAGTAGGTTTTCGTTATTTTGTTGCCCTCTTAATAAAATGACTTTGATTTTCAGTTGAGATTACAGAATATTCATCCCAATGCCTTTCCTGTAATATGAAGTGTATTTCATCCTGTATCAATAATGTGAAAGATTCCCAGGTTTGAAAATCTAAATGCTAGTGTTCACTATAGCTAGAATGCTCTTTTGCCTTCTTTATCTGACTTATGTCAATATACATTAACAGTGAGAGTCAGCTGGAAGATGCAGCAGTCTTGCAACTGTGAATCCTGTGTAAGAGACTTTGCTTTAGAACCAGTATAAAACTGGCCTTAGATGGTGCAAATGATGATGAAGCCACTTCTTTTTGTGTCTCTGGCTGCTATACCAGACAATGTCCAGCCCACTGAAGACCTCAAGAAGTCATGGTGAAAGTGTGAAGGGTCCAGACTCTTGCCTCCTGTTTCACAATTTACTGAAAGAGTAGAAACTTCAATGCAATTCTGCCACTATGTTTGACCACCACGTGGTATGTTGAAGCAGAGAGCAGTGTTGTAACATCATGAAATGAGTAAGGGGAGTTACTTGCTGTAGGTAACCAGGAAAGCAGGAATTAAACCTTTAGCATATATGGCTGGTTTAAATTACTTACAGTTGCCCAGAGAAGCTGTGGCTGCCCCATCCCTGGCAGTGTTCAAGGCCAGGTTGGACACAGGGGCTTGGAGCAAGCTGCTCCAGTGGAAGGTGTGCCTGCCTGTGGCAGGGGTTGGAGCTGGATGAGGTTTAAGGTCCCTTCCAACACAAACCAGTCTGGGATTCTATGGTTATAGCAATTTGATATTATTACATATTCTTTTAATACTCATGAGCATCTTGTGCAAACTCTATACTCACAACTGAAAGAGAGTGCTAATGATTGTTTTATCTGATTGGTGTGATAATATAAAGCAGAAGTCTATTTTAAGGAATTCTTAAAGTAGGATCATCAGGATGTCAGAAATAATCACTCAGCACACTTCCTAAATTGCTGCTATTTATACAAGAGAACGGTGAGAAAATAAGAGCAATGAGGGGCATTACAAAACCCACTGCTCCAAATCAGAAGCCAGATTCGTTACACTAAACTCAATTCTAATGGCACTGGCAATGGGAAAGGAATAGAATGTGAGGAGAAAACATGTATTAAAGATTTATTTTTCTTTTAGTCTGTAATGTACAATGTTCATGATTAAATGAGCATTTAATTGCCTGATTTTCCAGACTTGTAATGCTTGGTTGGATAAAACTACTGAAGGCACATTTCTTCCTGTTGAATTACTAATACACTTGCTTACATTTAACTCTGCTTTATTGTCTTTGGTATAAACAACACAACTGGTCATGATTAACTAATTTAGGAGTCTATTCCTCTTCAAAGAATACATTAGTTACTTTATTTTCTGGAGCAGAGAGCTTAGTGATTAACCTATACATGTATATGGAAACATGTATTAGAGATGTTCCGACAAGGGCATCATCCTTTTGTCTGCAGTTTTCCCCTCTTCTGCTCCTCAAACCTTAGAGAAGCTTAAAAGCAGATGAAAACCGTGTTACCACCAGGTTCATCCTGACACTTTCACTCCTCCCCCTCTAGGGCTTTCCTGTTTAAGTTTTTAGAGGCAGGAAAGTCACTTAATCCAAGGGGTAAAAAGCCCCATCTCGGCCGTGCGTGAGCGGATGTTTCGGGGATTTATTCCAAACAGCTCAGGCGCCGTTTATTTTTGACCGAGACAGAGACAAAGACAAAGCCCAAGGACAGGGACCGGCGCGGCCCCGCCTGGGGCTGACAGCCGCGGCGGCTGCTGCTGCACTCCCCCTCATTGCCTCAGAGCGGAGCTGGCGCCCGCCATGACCCCTGCCTGCGGAGGCCTTGGCCCCACCTCCCGCTGCTGTTTGACCCTCCCGGGCCACCGTCGCGCCCGGTAGCGGCGTCTCCGCGGCCTTGGCGCGCTCGGCGGTGCTGGGCTGGGCTGGCCGGCCCGCGGCTGCCGAGGGCCCGCGGCGCCACGCAGCGATGTCGGGGGCGAGCAGCAACGACGGGGTCGCCTCTCCCTCGGGGAGTTCGAGCTCGGAGCGCGGCCGCGCCTCGCTGCCGTCCACCTCGCGGAACGGCGCCGTGCCGCAGCGGCGGTTGCAGGGCCGCTCGCCGGGCTCCGCCGACGGAGACATGGAGGAGGACGAGCAGCCGCAGCGGCTGGAGGGCGATGAGCGCAGCAGGAGGATCATCCGGAACCAGTACCGGGAGCTCATCTACAGCGTGCAGCGTAAGCCCGGGAGCGGCGGCCGGAGCCCGGCCTCGCGGTGTTGAGGAGCCCGTAACGCTGCCCTGAACACCGGGCTCCTGGGGCTTCTGAATCGATGGGCCTGCGGTTGGATCCAGTTCTTGCCTCCCTGGAAGAGTTTACATGCCCTGGGATAGCAAGGGTATGAGGGATTTTCCAGCCCTAACTGCATTGCAGCGGGCCAAACTGTCAGCTTTAGACCTGGAGCTAAACGCAGAGCCTTTAATTTTGTCTTAATGGTGTTTGAGCTTTAATTTGGGTGCAGGTTATCTGCCCCGCCTTGAAAGTTGTTCGTGGGCTTTCCGCAAGTGCTGGGATTTTTAGCGAACCTTTAGGTAGATGTGTCAGCAGTTCTCATCTATGTCGTTGGAGCGTGATGGTTTTCTCATAGAAGCATCATGGTTGTTGGAGTACACCCTGCTGCATTAACGGTGTGCAGGGCTGGTGTTTTCTGCATGCTCAGTAAATGTGTGTGTTGTTTTACAAGGGAATACAATGCAATTCATGGATTATCCGGGCTGTGTTAAGCAGAAACCAGCAGTGGTATGTGAGGTCATTGAGATGGCGTAAGTCTGTAAAAGCGGTGTTGTGAGTAGCTGTTTAGAACTGGACCTCTGAAGCCCTGTTAAATCCTACATAGACTGTGATATACAAGTGACTGTGTTTGACGGGGTGATCTTCAGAAGTCATCAAGCATTCATTTGGGGGGTTTGTTTGTTTGATTCATGAAAATCCTTAGTAACCTAAAGGTAAGATGAAAAACATGGTAGCTGGTAGCAGCTTTGATGCAGATACAGGTATTTTACTGGAACCATGAGGGATCTGCTAACATAAATTCACAGAATCCCAGGCAGGTTTGGGTTGGAAGGGACCTTAAATGCCCATCCAGTTCCAACCCCTGCCACGGGCAGGGACACCTTCCACTGGAGCAGCTTGCTCCAAGCCCCTGTGTCCAACCTGGCCTTGAACACTGCCAGGGATGGGGCAGCCACAGCTTCTCTGGGCACCCTGTGCCAGTGCCTCAGCATCCTATGGTACAATATAGATCCATTGAAGGAAATTAAAAATTACTTCAAACTGAGTTAATGCATACACATTAATAAAAAATGGAGCCTAACATAATCTTGCAATTAATGTACTTAACTATATTCTGTATTTTTGTGTGTGTGTGACCCAGCGAGTTCTGATTAAGGTGTGAATCTGTATTTCTCGATGCTTCTATATTTAAGTAACATAAGATTTCATTTGTTTGTCCCCCAGAAAATCGTGAGGATATGCTGAGTTCAAAAAGCAACAGGCTGACAGAAGCTTTGGAAGAAGCCAATAAACTGTTTAGTGGAGGTAAAGCAAACTCTGTGGTCCTTGTTATAGAGGCTTTTGCTTGACAGTTGGCCAAGTGTGAGGCGATGATGCCTTGGAAACAAAAAAGGGTGAGAGAGTGAAGTTGAAAGTCAAGTACTTTACCAGAATTATTAAGGTATAACTTAAAACAGATATGTTTAGTTGAAGAGGAATTATTTGAATACATTGATATGAGAAAACTAATATTACTTTAGTGTTTATTTGCACTTGGAAAAATGCTCACTGCTTTATCTTGACACTGCAGAACTATACATAAGCAGTAGATATAGAAGCTATCAGTTAGAGGGGTTCATTTCACTTAGAGAGATGGAAAACATGTCAATAAAGAAGGCATTTTATTCTTTGGGGTGCTGTGTTATTTTTCCATTCTTGGTTTTGACAGTGTCATCCTCTCCTTTTCCTTTTCTCTTATTTTTTAATGCAAATGCTATTATAAGGATTATGTAAGTACAGGTGTTAGAGGTCATTGCAACAAAATGATTTATAAAGTTTTATACCTAGAATAGTCTGTATGCTGAATTTTCTTATTGTTTTTTTGACAATTTCATCTTATTAACATAAAATCTTTCCTGTAACAGTTTCCAGTGCACGAGAGGCTGCCCTTGATGCCCAGTTTCTTGTCTTAGCATCAAATCTAGGAAAGGAGAAGGCCAATGAGTTGCACTCTGAAATGACAACATTTGATTCACTAGTGTTTGCAGAAGACTTGGTAAGTTCTAGACTGACTTTGCCAACAGTTTTGCTAGGGGTTTGCCCTGTTTGTTTTAGAACAAGTTTTCAGGCAGTACAGGACAGTTCTGATGGAATTTAACTCTTCCTGTGCATTTCTTTGATTAACTTTCTGTTTAGTGTTGGTAATTGTTCTAAACTATGTATTGAGTATTTCCAGTATGCAGAGGGGAAAATATAACTTAAAATGCAGACATCGCCTCCCATTGGTGCATTGGTGCTACTTTATCACACTTTGGTTTGTGCTCTTAAGGTAGCCTTGTACACTTCTTTTATGCTCACTGTTTTGTAGCTTCAGCAGCTCTGAGTAGTTTCTTTATTCTCTCCACTGCTTTATGTGGTTTTGGAGTTCTTAAGGCCCCACGTCACTGACATGGGACTTTAGATTACCTGCATGCTTTTAGACTTGACATGTTTGCCTCTTTATACTGTGAACGGGTGGAACAGTCAGTTTAGAACAGCTTTGAAGAAGAATTTGGATTTTTTCTTCCTCCCCTCCCTGAAAATTTTCTCTTGTGTTACAGCAGATTAATGAGGAGTGTGAGTCTTTGGCCAAGTGTAGAACTCTGCAATATAAAAAAAACCCATCAAGTTAAATAGGGAGGTCTGGCTGCTGGCTGTAAGGTTGAGTCAAATAAGCTGTTTTATGGTGTTGAGGAGCTAAGCTCCCTGGAAGCATGTGGTGTTCAGAAACTGTGAGACACCTTAGCTTTATAGTGCAATTTAAGTAGTCCTGAAATGGTTTGGGTTGGAAGGGACCTTAAAGCTCATCTAGTTCCAACAGCCTGCCATGGGCAGGAACACCTTCTACTATCCTACAAGGTCATTTCATTAAAGTTCTGTTGGAATATAAGCAGTTTTATTTACCTATAGCTCTTTTTTCCAATGCTTGCTGTGAATATGAGTGTGTATGTGAGTGTTTTTCTGTTTTCACAGTATCTGCAGGAAAGTCGAGGTTCTTGTGCAGTGATATTAAGTATTAGTCTAGCAACACAAACACTGTGATATAGTATTTCACCATTAAAGTATTTGCTGATCTTTCTGTAAGTGAATTTTCATTGCAGCTTTTTTTTATCTTCTAGTTAACTTTTATGGGTATAAATCGCATAGAAGCAGAAGAAAATGATGATTCTGAGAGCATTTCAGGCTATTTGCCTAGTGATGCCTGGCATAAACTGGGAGAAGAAGCAGAAAAGTACTTCAGAAGAGCACCTTCTTTTCACTACATGTAAGTTTATTTAAGGAAATAGTATAAACTGCAGCACAAGTCAATGGCCTTAATTGATTCTTATCATTAATGCCCTGGGCTTGAATAGAGTTTAATCTTGGGTCACAGAGTATCAACAAGAACTCACGTGTGCTCTCTTTTCTTATGGTACGGTGAACTCCTTGTCTTCAAAGTATTTCATAATGTTTCTTTGATTTTGATTTGGCTTGGCTGCAAAATAGCATCACTTGTATCTAGTAGAGAAAGCAAGATATTCTTAATTTACGTGCTTCAGGCCAAACCCAGTAGAAGCGATCATCTTTCTTTCAAAAGCTGACTCTTCCCTCATCTTTCTTTCCCTGTACAAGTTGCAGCCAGAATCATGAATACAGGAAGGCTTTTCCCCCAGGTCTGTCCCTCAGGGTCTGTATCTTTTACCTGATGATTCTGTTCTTAAGAAGAGACTAACAGTTCTTCTCATATATCTGTGTTAATGGGTTGTCTTTTAGAATCTTGCGTTCTGTCTCTGCCTTCAGAAAAAATCACCTGATTACTTTCAAGTGGCCTGTGTAGAACCAGCATCATCTCTCGTTTTGCGTAAGGAACCATTGGTAGGAGCCTTTTTAGCTGCTGTTAGGTGACCCGTAGTCACCTGGCTTATAGACAACTCTTCAATTTAAATCTCTCATAAAGACAGCCATAGCAGGATCTAGTTGAATTAAATATCAGCAGTAGAGTTGAGAGAGTATTAAATAGTTGTCTATGCTTTCACACTTGTTCCACCCCCCAATAAGTCTCACTGTAAGAAGGCTGCTGAATATACTAATTTTGATCATACAATATCTGATATTTAATGATGGATGGCTCATTAAGATAATTCAAACTTGGCTTTGCACGTTCAAGCTCTAAAAGATAAGTATTTTCCAAACCTTTTTATTTTAAGACAAAACTGGCTGCAAGAAAAACTGTTTTCTCATTAATAACATTTTGACTTAAGTAATGATGGACTTCATTTTACACACATCTCCTTTTGATGGAGGATGTGTGAATATAAAGTGTTAATATAATCCAGTGTAGTTCTCAGTTTAGGAAAAGAACTGCTGATTTCTGACTATCGTTGATAGGTTCAAATTTAAAGAGGGGAAGTTTAGATTGGATATAAGGAAGAAGTTCTTTACAGTAAGGGTGATGAGGCAGTGGAATGTGTTGCCCAAGGAAGCTGTGAGCACTCTATACCTGGCAGTGTGCATGGCCAGGTTGGACAGAACCTTGGGTGACATGGTTTAGTGTGAGGCGTCCCTGCCCATGGCAAGGGGGTTGGAACTTGATCTTAAGGTCTTTTCCAAGCCAAACTATTCTATGCTTCTCTGCTTATCTGAGACCTGAGTTATTTTTTTCTCATGGTTAGTCTGTGATTTCTGAAGTGGAGCAATTGCAGCTCAAGACATGGAAAAATAAGTCCTGTAAAATATTTGTGTACCTGCTGAACTACCTTGAATTGAGTCTCAATTCACACTCTCTCCTTTTAGGCATCTAGTTCGGTGGAGATTCAAGGCACCCAAAGTTAGGCACCTAAGTTCCTTAATATAGTCAATGGAGAGAGGTAAGCACTTCAAGAAAGTGCTGAAATCTACCACATATATTGCACTGTTTAATGAGAAATGTTGGGTCTTGTCTTAGTGTAGTGAATGTTCCTATGATTGACTGTATATGAGAAAACTGTAAACCTGAACTTACAGAAACTAAACAATAGGTAAAAAAGAGATAAGTACTGTATGGAGAGAGTTTTCAGACAGGAAAGTCTGTAATAAATTCAAAAGGAGATAGAGGAGGGTACGAATTTCATTTCTTACTTAGCTTTCAGAAAAGGAGATTTAAAGTTTTCTGTTAAAGTTGGAATAATGGCACCAAATTTTATGCATCTGTTGTTAACTCTGCTATGAGGCTGCCAACATATATTGGGAACAACCTTAGGGGATGGTTGTTTATGGAAATCTGCGTGTGATGAGGCTTTATTTTTAGACATCGGTCATTACTTTGCATCTTTATCAGCAGATCAATTTGCTCACTTTATAGATTTCTTAGCATATCATATAAAATATATTTCCATATATGTGCTCTTTTTGTCTTGGTTAGGTTGGGATCTTTCAAGTCTGATCCTCCTGTACCAAGGCAACGGATTGAGAGACAGAAAAAAACTACAGGAACAGAAGGAAAAAGGGCAATGCCTGCTCAGGTTTGTGAACTGTTATCTTTATTGATGATTTCTTATGGCACAGTTATTACAACTGACTTGTAAATCTTTCTAGTTCATGTTGGTTTGGGGTTCGTTGTTAGGAACTGTGTAGTGCTAAAGGATTCAGGCTAAAGAATTCAGACTTCGCTATTAGGCTTCTCAATTTGTTTTGTGTGGACTGCAGTATTTCACTGAGTGGAAGGAAGTAGGATTTACAGCCTGATTTTACAAGTTCAGATTAGTTTATTTGCTCTGATACTTGTTGCTTTGAAAGGAAATGAAAAGAAACTTCTCTATATTAGTGTGTTTTCAACTTTTACTTAAAAAGCATCTAACAGTCTACATCATTTGCACAGAAATGCACATAACAGCAGACTAATTGACTCCCTTAATCACTGTTTTCTCTGCTGTTTTCCCATTCATTCTGTTGTACTCTGGCAGAAAGGCCAAAGTCTGAGAATACTTCCAGGGAGGCTTCCTTTGAACTAATAAACCATGTTGATATAGGGAACCTCTGGCTGATAATGCCAGTATGTAGAGGCAACATCATAGAATCACAAACCGGTTTGGGTTGGCTTATCCAGTTCCAACCCCTGCCACGGGCAGGGACACCTTCTTCTAGAGCAGGTTGCTTCAAGCCCCCGTGTCCAACGTGGCCTTGAACGCTGCCAGAGATGTGGCAGACACAGCTTCTCTGGGCACCCTCATAGTGAAAACGTTGAGTATGGCTTTTTAAATGCAGCCTACTTCATAATAATCCAAATAGTGATAGAAAATATTCTGATACAGTTTGTACTGGGAAGAAGAGGAGCTGGGGATTTTGAGACAGTTGTTTCCAAAAGCAAGTGACTGCTGTTTGTGGTTTGCTTAGGGAAACGCTGATGATCACATCACATCACATCTATGTAAATCTGTGTTGGATATAGTTATGTGTAGAAGTTTCTGTAGCTTGCAAGGTGGTCAAAGGGAAATTGTTACCTAACAGGAGCAGCAAACAGGTTGCTGAGGGCTGCTTGAGAAGCGTATTTGGTACTGTGCAGGGTACAGTACTTGGAGGGTGGAGTCCCCTGCTGTACAGCTCATGAGCAAATCTAAAATCACAGTCCTGTCCTTTGACCATGCTAAACTTCACTTTTCTTACATGTAAACTTAGGTGCTTTTCTGAAAAGATCTTTAACTTTTCCTTCTTTTAATGAACTGCTCTTCTGCACTTAAAAATGAACTTCTACAATAAACTCACAAACTGTGTGCCATTAGGCATAACTCGGAACTATTGGGAAGTCAACGTAGCCCTGTAAATAGGCTGAAAACATACAAGCTACAGCCTTTCAGGTTTATTCTTTAAGATGGAAACTGGTTCCTAAACCACTGTGTAAGTTGTCTTATGTTTCATATGTGTCTGTGACTGTGCATATGTGGCATAGAGAGAAAAATACACCTTTTAAGTTAGGTGTTCATAAAAGGCCCTTTTCATCTTCTTGTCTTACCACAGGGGTTATTTGAGGTGAAACTGTGTTTCTTTTTTTCCAGTTAAAAAAAATGGAGGAGTCTCATCAGGAAGCTACAGAAAAAGAAGTAGAGAGGATCTTGGGGTTATTGCAGACTCATTTTCAAAATGATCGTAAGTATGATTCCAGTAAGCTTTTAAAACATTAATTTAAGAAGATGAACGCTCTTAATCTACAGTTAAGAGTGATTAGACTATAGCAACAAAATTAGTTGGAGTTAGCGAGTAGAAGACTCTCAGACACGTTGAGAGGGCTGGGCTTGTTCAGCTTAGAGAAGACTGGGGAGACCTTAGAGCAGCTGCAATACCTAGAGGTATATACCTACAAGAAATCTGGAGAGGGGCTTTGGACAAGGGCCTGCAGGGACAGGCCAAGGGGAATGGCTTTAACCTGCTGGAGGGGAGACTGAGATGAGCTCTTAGGCAGAAGCTCTTCCCTGTGAGGGTGCTGAGGCGCTGGCACAGGGTGCCCAGAGAAGCTGTGGCTGCCCCATCCCTGGCAGTGTTCAAGGCCAGGTTGGACACAGGGGCTTGGAGCAAGCTGCTCTAGTGGAAGGTGTCCCTGCCTGTGGCAGGGGTTGGAGCTGGATGAGCTTTAAGGTCCTTTCTACCCAAACCAGTCTGGAATTTTATGGTTCTTCCAGGATTCTGTGAAATCTTCATGTTGAAGGATAGAGGCTATTTTTATGAACACTAATTGACTGCTGCTTGCTACAAAGTAAATTTAAACCCTATCCTTTCTCTCTTACTACAACATGCCATTTTTTAGAGGGGATCAAATAGTTACCAAGTGTGTGTATGTGTGCGGCAAAAGATGGAAGAAAACACTCATCTCTAGAACCTGTTTCTTTCTTCAGGCAACTGGGAATTCAGCTTTGTAACTGAACGGACATAAACAGTCAAGCAGCTTTTAAAAGGAGCCCTGGCTTTATGTTTGCATATATTAGGTCTGTGTACCACCTGTTTATTTTTTTAACAACCCCTTTTTTCTATGTCCAGCTAGTACTCCTATTTCCTTCTTTGATCTTGTGATTGATCCCAACTCCTTTGCACGCACTGTGGAAAACATCTTTCATGTGTCCTTCATTATAAGGGTAAGGTCTGACATGTTCTTGAAATCTTATTTTGGATATTGGAGTTATCTAGAAAGATGATTTTTTGTTTTTATGGCTTCAAGTTTGACAGATTAGGATTTAAATATTAGGAATCCTAATTTGTTTTCTACAAAGTCTGTGATATTTTAGTAATTGAATAAAAAAGAAACCAGAGTTGACAGTATAATATTTTTTATTAGATTTTTCTATTATAGTTAATGTACCAGCAAAACCATAATGAAACTTCTGCTGTTACACACATCTCAAAAAGGGATTCTGCCTCACATTATGTTAGATTTTAGAAGAGCAGTCAGGCAGTATAGAAGCGTTATTGAGGCTGAAGGAAAGTATGTTAGTGGAGTGTTTAATACACCTTTTGAATCTGTAGATTTGCACTTCATACTTAGTTTGTCAAATAACATGAATTTGGGAAAACAGAAAAACTTACAGAGATATTTGTCTAAATTCGGGTTTATAGTGAAAAGTGATGTGATCATGGAGGGTTCACTCCAGTATATTTAATGAATAATGGTTTTTAATAAAACTGATTTTTTTTTTCTAATCCAAGTTGCCAATTGTCCTATATCATCTGCATTCTTTGTGAATGAATGAATGCTGTATTTAAACTATTCTTATTTGGTATGCCAGTTATGACTGTATATCAATACATGTACTTGTTTATGATGTAATATATTAAAATATGATATCTCAGTGCATTACCTTAATCATGCCTAACTTATGAAACTGTAAATCCTGTCTTTTCAGGATGGTTTTGCAAGAATAAAGCTGGATGATGATAAATTGCCAATAATAGGTAAAATCTAACTTTAAAAGTCTAATTGTTGGGGGTTTATTTTGTTATTGAAAAGTAGCTACATCTTGCATGTTTAGGAAGTTTCAGGTGTATTTTTAGCTGCAGGAGTAGAGATCTGGGGATATCCAGTGAGTGTAATTGAAGGCATAATGAGATTTATGAGAGGAACCGGAGGTATTGAGTCTGTTAATAAAAGGAAAGGGAATAACATTTTATTTCAAAGTGGTATCTTCACTAATACATAAATGAACATTGTTAGGTTTTGCTGAGAAAACAGATTTTTGGATGCAGGAAGTCTCCTTTACCTGTGTTGGGAAGTGCTGCATCTTCAGAACAGTTGTAAGGGAAATGCCATCCTATGTAGGAGGTCTTTAGCTTTCATTCTCATGGGATATCAGTGGGATTACAACTGGTGGGATTTTGGAAAGGGTGAAATACTTAGATCCTTCTGTGAGTGAAATGTTAGTTCCTCAATTTTTAGGAGTTAAGACTAAAGAAATTTCTTAAGGAGTGTATGATACAGGCTGTTGCTGGAGACTATCTTTGTGCAGCATGTGTCACTGATTTGCTTTTTGTGAAGCTTTTGTACTCCTGGAGGAGACTGACTTAATGAGTATAAGGACTCTGGAAATGCTGTATTTTGCACAGAGCCTTCAGAAGACAACGAGGAAAGGGAGGATGGCCGTAGTGCTGGAGCACGGAACCAGGTTGTCTTGTCTCTGAACTACAAAGACTGGAAGGTATAACAGATAGCTCTCGATACTTTTGTTAAGTGTAGGACTATATGTACTGCATTGTTACGTACTCTGATGAGGACAGGAGTTCCTGTATTATCACTGCATTTAACTTTATGGATTCCAGAACTATCACAAATCTAGTGAATGCTTTTAACTGCAAGAACACTGACAATTGGGATAGCAATTTCATCTTTGATCCTTGAAGCCTGCCCAGTTTAAGTTGTGCAGTGACTTGCTTTTACTGTTTTGTATAAGGACTGCATAAATAGCATCTGTTTCTTCCCTTCCTGAATGATAGTTGCCTTTAGAGGAAAAGTTCTCTTTTCAGTTTCCTCACTGCTTGCTGTTTGTACTAGATCTTAAAACAAAAAGTAGTTTTTAGCATGTACAACTCCTCTCCTTTGTACCTTACTCAAATATACTTAGTAATTTGAAGTAGTGCTTCAGTATGAGAAACTTTATTACTTATGTGATGGTAACTTCAATGAAATGGAAATAATTCAGTTCTTGTAACTTACATGCTTTTGTCATCTCTAACCAGGAGATTGTAGAAACATTTGAAATAACAGAACCCATGATTAGCCCTCCTTATAATAGCAATGAAGATGAAATGGAGACAGATTAATTCTTCAGGTAAGTTCTTTTAATAAATTGAACTAAATAAGGATACTTATTTTTTTTAGTAAATCAAACAAAATAAAAAAGGATACAGTGAATGAGTTCCTTATGCATGTTGAAGAACTGCAGGGAAACTACCTGTGACTTATAAATGTAGAGAAACTATGAGCAGGGCAACTTCATAACATCTGGAACATTGTTGATGTCTTAATGGAACAAAGTAATCTGATCTTCTGTGCAGTAGTTAAATGAAAGAACCCTTTATTTAGAGAAGAGATTCAGAGCAGCCCTGCAGAGAAGGACTTGGGGGTGCTGGTCAATGAGAAACTGAACATGAGCCAGCTTCAGTGTGCGCTTGCAGCCCAGAAGGCAACTGTATCCTGGAGCGTGACCAGCAGGTGGAAGGAGGTGATCCTGCCCCTTTATTCTGCTCTTGTGAGACCTCACTTGGAGCATTGTGTGCAGTTCTGGTGTCCTCAACATAAAAAGGACATGGAACTGTTGGAACAAGTCCAGAGGAGGCCACGAGAATGATCAGGGGACTGGAGCACCTCCTGTATGAAGACAGGCTGAGAAAGTTGGGGCTGTTCAGCCTGGAGAAGAGAAGGCTGCGTGGAGACCTCATAGCAGCCTTCCAGTATCTGAAGGGGGTCTATAGGGATGCTGGGGAAGCACTCTTCACTGATATACTGATAGGACAGGGGGTAAGAGGTTAAAACTTAAAACAGGGGAAGTTTAGATCGGATATGAGGAAGAACTTTCCTGTGAGGGTGGTGAGGCACTGGAATGGGTTGCCCAGGGAGGTTGTGAATGCTCGACCCCTGGCAGTGTTCAAGGCCAGGTTGGACAGAGCCTTGGTTTAGAGCGAGGTGTCCCTGCCCATGGCAGGGGGATTGGAACTTGATGATCTTAAGGTCCTTTCCAACCCCAACTGTTTTATGATTCTATTTTTACATGTGTCAGTCAGTTAAGTGGCATACTTAATGCAGTGCTGTGAAGAATCATAGCTTAGTTTTTGTACCTTTTAACCAATTGACAGCTGATGTTGTTAATAGATTAGCGTGAAGGACTTGTGGGGGGAAAAAGAAGGGAACACCATCAGGTTCCCTCTAAAACCCATTCAGCCATTGCATTGAGTTCTTTTATTGCCACAGTTGTTTGCTAATCCAAATCTTAATGCATGTTGTCTTACTGGCTTTTTTCTTTTTTTTTTTTTCCTTTCTTTGCCCCTAGGTGCCTTACAGGAAATATTTTAAAATGTTTTATTCAGAAAGTGTTTTATATGTATATATGTTGTAAAATTATTTCTATTAGAACATCTCAACACTTCCTATGTGCTGGTTTGTTTCTACCTGTCACGGGTTTATTACCATATACCTCCTGTTTATTAGGGCTTAGTTTGCTGCTTTACATAAAGTTTACAGATGCTTCTAAGTAAAAATGAAATGCTATCCCCCTTCATACATCCCTTGCCTCTCCCCAGGAGCAGCCTGCAGGTGGAATTTACATGGTTAACCATCTCTGCTGTGATAATCCTGTTATCTAGATGAGTTTGGGTGCTGAAGGAGAAACTGATGATGTCTTTCTCCTCTTAGTCCCCTGAAAACCAAGGTTTGAGTTTGCAAGTTCAATCTCAGTGGCACTTAAAAGTCCTCCTTCCTTGGACTTAGTTAAAAAGACATCAGGTGTATCTGGTTTTGTAACAAGGCAGGACAGCTGTATGTGGCCATGACAGTATTTTTTTAATTCAAAATAAATAAACTTTAGCTCCATCTCCAGAAAATCCTCTTTGGAGGAGGACTGTCTCCGGAGTTTTTAGGACTTTATCATCAGGCAGGGTTCTGATCAAGCAGCTGGGGTAGGAGGTCCTGCTGATGCTGTTAGAGCGTGTTTCTGGGGGTGATAACGTGGGCAGGCCCTGAGGGCGTGTGAAAGCACAGTTCCACCATCTCTGCTCATCTAGACCAGAACGCAGAGCTCTTTTAGAGCAGCTCCAGCAAACGGGGCCAGGCCTCCTCCGAGGGCCGTCTCCACCTCGCTTCGCCCCGGCGGGGCGCTGCGGGCAGGGTGGCTGGGGCGGGCAGGGCCGCTAGGGCGAGGCGGGCAGCCGGACGCCATGCCTGTCGCCGTGGTGGAGTACAAAGGCCGGAAGGAGGGCTACCGCTGCGGTTACTGCGCGTCGGAGCAGGGGAAGGTCTCCGCCGGTAAGCAGGAGAAGGCGGGACGGGACGGGACGGGACTGGGCTGAGACACCGGTCTTAATGCGGCGGGGCAGCGCGGCCGCCCTCACTAAAGATGGCGGGTCCGCCATTTCCTGTGGACGCTCGCCGTGCGCTGCCCGTAGCAAAGATGGCGGCGGCGGCTGTTTCCGGTAGGCCGGGGGAGCGGTGTATGGCTGCGGGCAGGGCGCTGTCCTGAGCCGGGCGGCGGGGCAGGACTAGAGGGGCACCGCGGAGATGGCGGCGGCCGGCGGCTCTCCGAGCATCGTCGAGTACTTCGGCGGAGAGGATGGCTACCGCTGCGGCTACTGCAAGAACGAGACCGGCAACCTCTCCCACGGTGCGGCCCGCGGGCAGGGCGGGCTGTGAGGGCCGGGACGCTACCGAAGGTAGCTGGAGGCCACCGAGCTGCTTCAGCCTGGGGCTGAGGGAGGCCTGTGAGCGGCGGCGTGCAGCAGCCTCCGCCTTGCCTCCGTCCTGCCGGGAGCGAGCACTGCCCTTCTCCCGCGCCCCCTGCTCTGGGCATGGGGGCTCCGAGCTGCCCGGGGCACCCGAGGCAGCCCGCAGAGCCAGGCCGGGCCGGTGTGGGGCCGCGGAGGCCATGGGCTCGCCGGGAAACCTCGCCTTATGGTCGGGATGGATAGGAGTGCTTCTCCAGGCTAGGGTGAACCATGAGAAATAACGGGAAAGCCGTGTAGAGAGTGAAGTGTTTAATTGCTGCTATAATAATAACATGCACCCTAAGTAAGGATGTAGTTAGGGTCTCTCCCTAAGCGTTCTCTCGGTGCAGTTTTACTCCTGAGGCACAGCTGTCCTGCCTGACCCTTCACCACGGGGTTAACCCAGGGCTCAGTGTGTTGGCCTGGCCCTGCTCGATGACTCTAGATGTGTGGCTGGACAGGTTTAGCTTAGGACAGCTCGATGGGAAGCGGATGATGTGCTTTCCTGGGTGAAGAGATGACAGACATTCCTTGAGCTCTGCTCCACCTGGCAGCTGCCTGGGCAACTGCTGTCCAAGGGATCCCTGGGAATGGTGTGTGTCAGCTTCAGCGCTGCTCAGAGGAATTCTGGCTCCGTGTTTCCAACAGTTTAGAACAAGATTAAGGAGCAATTCTGTGTTATTTTGTTGGGGTATCTCTGGCAAAGATAGCAGGCAGAGTAGTGTAGAATCAGAATAGCCTGGGCTAGAAGGCACCTTCAAAGCTCACCTGGTCCAACCCCCTCCCTGCAATGAGCAGGGACATCTTCAACTAGATCAGGTTGCCCCGATGGCCTGGAATGTCTCCAGGTAAGGCACATCCACCGCCTCTCTGTGCCAGTATTTTACCACAGTTTTATTTGCAAGTTGGTTTGCATTTCAAGGTCTGCATTAGTTTTGGTGATTTTACACTTTGTGTGTTGACATCAGTAATTTATGACAGTCATTTATTTGTAACTCGCCGTGAGCCACTCAGATTTACAGTCATATTTTTGTGTATGTTCTTGTGTTTTAAAGCACGACCATGGTCAGTCAAGTATGTTGACTACATTATTTATTGCAGGTATGTGGGCGCATTCAATGACAGTTCAAGATTACCAGGATCTCATAGACAGAGGGTGGCGAAGGTAAGTTTAAAACAAAAACCAAAGCCCTGTTGACGGGTTAGATACAGTTTAGAATCCAGTTTTAAAACTTAGATCTTTGTCCTGGGTTCAGCAGTAGCAGTCATTTTTCTCTTACTTAGTAGCTGGTGCAGTGCTGTGGTTTTGACTTTCAGCCTGGGAACGGTGCTGATAACACCGATGGTTTTAGTTACTGCTCAGATGTTCAGTCTGACCAAGGACTCTGTGAGTCTCACGCTCTGCCAGGGAGGAGGGGAAGCTTTGAGGAAGCAGAGACAGGACACCTGACCCAAACTGACCAAAGAGGTATTCCATACCACAGCACGTCATGGCCAGGATGTAACTGGGAGTTACCTGGAAGGGCTGGTGTACTGCTGGGTCAGGCTGGGTATCGGTTGGCAGGTGGTGAGCAGTTGTATTCTCTTCCCTTGTTATTTCCCTTATCATTATTATTATTGGTGGTAGCAGCAGTGATTTGTGTTGTACCTTAGTTACTGGACTTCCCTTATCTCAACCCATGGGAGTTATATTCTTTCGTTTCTCTTCTCCCTCCCTCTGGGAGCAGGGGAAGGGAAGAAGGCAGGAAGTGAGAGAGAGACTGCATTGGCTGACTGGGCTTAACCACGACAGTCTGTGAAAAGCCATTGACTAGTTTCTCATAGTAATTGCAATAGAACTGTCTCTGCAGTGCTCTTTGAAGTTTTGCAACACGACTGAACAGGAAAATACTCACAAGGGCCCTTACAGCTCGCCCAGTTCCATCCCCCTGCCATGGGCAGGGACATCTTCCACTAGAGCAGCTTGCTCCAAGCCCCTGTGTCCAACCTGGCCTTGAACACTGCCAGGGATGGGGCAGCCACAGCTTCTCTGGGCACCCTGGGCCAGCGCCTCAGCACCCTCACAGGGAAGAGCTTCTGCCTAGCACCTAAAATTTTAGAAAGATAGTATTTTAATATAGTAGCAGAAAGCTGAAGAACTTGCTTCTTGGTTTCTGTTACTCATCAGGTAATATTTTGATATTATTTTAGAGAAGATATTCAGAGCAGCCCTGCAGAGAAGGACTTGGGGGTGTTGGTTGAGGAAATGAACATGAGCCGGCTTCAGTGTGTGCTTGCAGCCCAGAAAGCAACCATATCCTGGGCTGCATCAAAAAGAGCTTAACCAGCAGGTCAAAGGAGGTGATCCTGCCCCTCTACTCTGCTCTTGTGAGACCTCACTTGGAGTATTGTGTGCAGTTCTGGTGTCCTCAACATAAAAAGGACATGGAACTGTTGGAACAAGTCCAGAGGAGGCCATGAGGATGATCAGGGGCTGGAGCAGCTCCCGTATGAAGACAGGCTGAGAAAGTTGGGGCTGTTCAGCCTGGAGAAGAGAAGGCTGCGTGGAGACCTCATAGCAGCCTTCCAGTATCTGAAGGGGGCCTATAGGGATGCTGGGGAGGGACTCTTCATTAGGGACTGTAGTGATAGGACAAGGGGTAATGGGTTAAAACTGAAACAGGGGAAGTTTAGATTGGATATAAGGAGGAAATTCTTTCCTGTGAGTGTGGTGAGGCACTGGAATGGGTTTCCCAGGGAAGTTGTGAATGCTCCATCCCTGGCAGTGTTCAAGGCCAGGTTGGACGAGGCCTTGGGTGAGATGGTTTAGTGTGAGGTGTCCCTGCCCATGGCAGGGGGGTTGGAACTTGATGATCTTAAGCTCCTTTCCAACCCTAACTGTTCTATGATTCTATGATTTGAACAGAAAAGGTTAGTCTTACATTTATTTTGTAGTATAAGCAACAACAAATGGATGTATCTTTGTTATTATTTTTAGAAGTGGAAAATATGTCTACAAACCCATCATGAATCAGACATGTTGCCCTCAATACACAATAAGGTAAGAAGCTCAAAATCTACTACTGTGATTTGACTGCCTCAGGTATGTTCAACCGTTTGTGTTTACTGCTTTACATATGTAAGAGCACTCGAAGGGTTTATCTACTTGTAATGATACTTTGAAGGCTAAATAAGTGCTGTTGGGTTTGTGCATAGGCACAGCAGTGGCTCTCTGATAGTTCCCTATAAGCAATCTACTAAGTGTACACCCTTGCCTTTTGCATCTGGGTTGCAATCGAAAGAGTCCTGTGATTGCTGTCTTGCTGGCTGGTTTCAGGTGAATTATAATGTCTGTATCCCACAAACACTGTCTTAGTAGCCCAAATAAGAGAGGCTGTCAGTTAAACAAAGAATCTATTGTATTAGCCTCCTAGGAAGGCTTTTATGCACTGCTTGAGGTCACCTTGGCATATTTTAGTGATTATTGTGATATACACACAAAGCATGGCATAAAGACTGACATTATGCAGTACAGGTATTATATGTGTATAAGATATTATGCAGTATAATGTTATTAACTCAAAAGTGGTGATGAAATATTTGGCCACTTCATATAAGGAAAGTTAAGAAAAAGAAAATACATCTGTAGTGTAATTTTTTTAAGTGGTTCCTTAACCTATATTATTTCTGAAATAATCTTTCCCCAAAGAAATGGTGGTAATCTTTTTTTTTTTAAGGTGTCAGGCTTTGCATTTTCAGACCTCCAAATCTCACAAGAAAGTTCTGAAGAAAATGCTGAAGTTCCTTTCCAAAGGAGACGTTCCCAAAGTAGTGAGTGAAGGTAAAGAAATTCTTCATGTTTGAAAATGGACACTGATGGTTGAAAAGAGGATCAGGTACCTGCTTGAATGATCAAATGGCTGATATGCCTTGATCCAAGGGCTGGAGCAGCCCTGCTCTAGAGCCAGGCTTGAGAGAGCTGGGCTGGTTCAGCCTGGAGAAGAGAAGGCTTCTGAAGGGGAGACCTCAGAGCAGCTCCAGTGCCTAAAGGGGCTCCAGGAAATGTGGAGAGGGGCTTGGGGCAAGGGCCGGTAGGTACAGGCCAAGGGGAATGGCTTGAACCTGCCCGAGGGGAGACTGAGCTG